AGGGGCGGCTTGTTTTACAACGTCGTTGCCAAGCGACGAAAACCCAACCCCGATGGCAAAACACCGGGGGGACCGTGTAGGGGAGAGGGGACGCGTTTTTCTCGGTATGCGACAACGTGACAACCCGCTCGAGACTCCTCGTCCTTTCGCGTCTAAACATGCGTACGTACTACTCTGAAGAAATGTAGTTCATTGTTCCCACAGAGGTGACTTGCCCGCGGTAGTGAGGACCCCTATCATGATGCGATCATGAAGCCAACAGCTGTCGGAGCACCCCCCCTTCCCTCCTTTCCGGACTGTCGACCCCATCGATGTTGAGGGTGCCGTCCGTTCCGCCTCAGCAGAGTGATTAGCCCCTTCGGTTTCATCCATGGCCGTATCACGATGGCCCCGCGCCCTAGTAAGATACCTCGCCTTCCCCCACTCCCCAACCATCACCCCCCCTTGAAAAACAGGAACGTGTGGTGCAAGGACTTGGCGGCGGCGGCAACGGCGGTGTTCCGCAACAGGGCCACGGAATCGCCGGCCCCGAGCTCTTCCTCGTCTTCCCACCACCACCGCCGGTCGAGCTCGACCTCCTCGGGCGTGATGGGCGACGCAGGCAGTCGTTCACGCGGCGGCAGCGGCAGCGGCAGCGGCGGGAGGGCTCTTACGCCCCCCGCGTCCTCCTCCGGCAACCGCACGACCCAACCGACCCCTTCCCCTGATTCAGACCGGCAGGCTTCCTCGACTGCGACGGCGGCGACGATGGCGGACGACAGCGACTTGGCCCCGGCGGCGGCGGCGGCGGCGGCGGCGGGTTTGCCGGACGCCATCGCGGTTGCCGTCGCCTCGACGTTTCCCACCGCAGGCGCCGGTGGCAGTGCGGGAGGGAGTTCAGCAGGGGGGGGCTGTCCTTTTTCCGGTCGCGACGGGGAGGCGTTTCCGATGGACGCCTCGTCATCGACGGTGCTGGCGGCGGCACAGACTTCGGCGGCGTATACGACAAACTCCGTCGTTGCGGCGGCGGTCGTGGTAGGGAGAGACGGGGCGAAGTCGGGCGGCGAAGGCAGTAGCAGCAGCAGCAGCAGCAGCAGCCGCCGCGGCAGCGGCAGCGGCAGCGGCGGCGGTGGCGGTGGCGGTGGCGGAGGCGGCGGCTCAGCCGCACGGGGCGGCGGCGGGCCATGGTCGTCGTCGTCGCCGAACGACTCGCGCGCGCTCGTGGTGCCCGTCGCGAAGAACTTTGCAAAGGGTAACGGCAACAACAACAGCAACCTGTTGTCGCCTCAGACTCCGCCGCCGTCGACCGGCCTGCGGTACGGAGCTAGCGGTGCTTCCGGTTTCGGCGCCGGCATGGACGCCTACGGCCGCTACGCGACAGTGGAGTCGCACCCGCGCACGCACCGGCGCGCCGTTCACGCCGGGAGCACCCCGGGGAGAGTGCTGTCGTCGGGCTTATCGACGGAGCCGAGCGGCGGCGAGAGAAAAGCTTTGGCAGGAGGAGGAGGGGGGCCGGGGCAGGAGCACGGGGGTGCGTGGTTTCAGTGGCTGCCGCCCGTAGCCGCGGCGGGTCCCGGTGGCTGCTGCGCCGGTGGTGCGTCGAACAGCCAGACCGACGTGAGTTTTTGTTGGAAAAGTTGTAGGATGGATATATTGGCGAACGCTAACAAGGCGTGTGTGCACGGAACGAGCACGGGGGGATGGGTGGGATACTCGGTTCTTGCCGACGCGGTCGTCGGTGGGAAGCGCAATTATTAGGTGGACACCTTCCAAGAGAGGCCAGACGGCCGCTACGTGGCGTACACGGGGTGGGCTTTCTCTCCGGCCCGTTGTGTTGATTGCTCTTGGTGCGACTGGTGTCTCATTTAGGTGGTAACATGACAGCGAACTGATGGTTGTGCCACTGGTTGATATGGGTAATCGTAGCTGGCATCGACTGCAGCAATCTGCTGACCAATGAACAGGCGTTTGTGTGCGCGTGCGTGTGCCTTTATGCCGGCTTGTGTTCCGCGACGTGCAGCACGACTTTTTTTGCCACGTCCGACCGAGTGTACAGATCGACACTGCAATGCTGCTGTGCTTGTAGCTGTTGGCGTCATCAAGACTCACATGACGACCCACTCAGCTGCGCTGTGTTCCGCCTACAAATTGTACACCCCTTTTTTGCTGTGTTTGCAGCTCTTCACACGTTTCCTATGCGTCCTAACTACCTCGTTTCAACCTACTTGCAATCGTAGCTGTATGTCCCTCTCGAAGTTTACATTGTGACCAACTCGGACCACGCTACGTCTCTGTGTTCCCAATACCACTTTTTTATGCGCCCCCTATGCACCAGGGCTGTTTTTTTAATCTTGTGCGTCCGACCTCGTTTGGACCCACCTGGTTAGCTGTCTAGCAGCTAGCAGCTTATCTCTGCCAATCCTGGCGTTTTAACACGTTGCTTCGATGACACCGCGTGGTGTGCGTCCCATGCTTGCACGCCTTTTTGTCGGGTGCTCTTCCCTTGTCGTTTCGTCGGTAACGAGAACGTTGGGCATCTTGTGCCGTCATGGTGCGGGCGTGCGCGGTGCGCCGGCGTCCTCCCCCCCCCCCCCCCCCCCCCCCCCCCCCCCCCCCCCCCCCCCCCCCCCCCCC